AGGCCCGAAACGTCAGCCTTTCTGCTCCTATGATGCTGCTTAGCCTGCTGTGTTCATCCAGCTCTGCACCTTGTTGTCTTAGGGTCGAGGCTACCTCCTTGATATATTTCACGAGGCGGCTTGGTATGGTCCGTGACAGGGAATTGAACCATCGCACCTTGACACTCAAGGATATGACCACTGCTGAGTCCCCAACACCCACCACTTCTTTCTTTTATCAGCGCAAGCATTGAGAGTATCTCTGGCTAGGCCTGCATTCATTGCCCCTCTCATTTGCCAGTAAACTGAGCATGCTTGCTAGACCATTTCAGAGAGTAGTTGAGAGTCAGCCACATCACTGCAGGTCCAGAGTTCACATACAGAGACAGAGGGTGGTAGGAGAGAGTTGTATTTCAGACTGGAGGTCTGTGACTAGTGGTGTTCAACAGGGGTTGGTGCTGGGTCTACTTTTCTCATTTATATAAATGATTTAGATGAGAATATAGAAGGCATGGCTAGTATGTTCGTGGATGACACCAAGCTTGGTGGGAAAGTGGACAGTGAAGAAAGTTATCTAAGATTACAAAGAGATCTTGAACTCTTGGGTCAGTGAGCTGAGGAGCAGCACATGGAGTTTAATTTGGATAAATGCGAGGCGTTGCTTTTGTGTAAAACAAACAAGGGCAGGAACAAAAACAAAGTTGCTGGAAATGCTCAGCAGGTCTGGCAGCATCTGTAAAGGAGAAAACAGAGTTAACGTTTCGGGTCCGGTGACCCTTCCTCAGAACTGATGGTGGCTGGAAACATGGCTGGACTTGTACAATTAAAAGTAGATCATTGTATAGTGTTATAGGACAGAGAGACTGAGGAGTTCAGGTACACAATTCTTTGAAGTTTGTGTCACATATAGACAGGGTGGTTAAGAAGGCATTTAGCATGCTTGCCTTCAATGCTCTGACCTTTGAGTTTAGGAATTGGAATCTTATGTTGAGATTGAACAGGATGTTGGTGAGGCGTCTTCTGGAGCACTGTGTCCAGTTCTGGTCACCCAATTGTAGGAGCAATATTATTAAGCTGGAGCAGGTTCAGATGAGATTTACCAGGATGTTGTCAGAAATGGAGAGTTTGAGTCAAAAGGAGAGGCTGGATTGGCTGACACTTTGTTCGCTGGTGCATAGAAGGTTGAGGGGTGACCTTATAGATGTTTATAAAGTCATGATATGGGTATAGATAAGGTGAAAGGCAAGTGCCTTTTCCTTAGGGTGGGAGATTTCAGGACTAGGGGGGCATATTCTAAAGGTGAGAGGAGAAAGATTTAAAAAGGACATGTTGGGGAATTTTTTTGTTTTTACACAGAGTGGTTCGTGTGTGAAATGACCTGCCAGAGGAAGTGGTGGATGTGGATACTGTTACAACACTTAAAAAAGACATTTGGATAAATACATGAATAAGAAAGGTTTGGAAGGATATGGGCCAAGCGCAGGCAGGTGGGACTAGTTTAGTTTGGGATTATGGTTGGACTGAGGGGTCTGTTTCTGTGCTGTATGAGTTTATATAGGCCAGACTGGGCAAGCACTGCAGATTCCTGCCCCCTATAGGACATCAGTGAACCAGATGAGTTTTTAACAACACCGTCACCATTTGGTGAACTTTTAATTCTAAATTTACACTGATGACTTTGCAGACCATGCAAAGATACAAGGAAAGTGTGTTGTGAAGGTGATGTATGGAGGATGTAGTCAGAAAGAGAGCAGTGGCAACACAGGAAGCTCGGGACACCATCCAGGACAAAGCAGCCCGCTGGTCTGGCACTACACCCACTCTTGATGCTCAGTTGCAGCAGTGTGTACCATCTACAAGATGCACTGCAGAAATTCACCATGGCTCCTCAGATAGCACCTTCCAAATTCTCAACCTCTACCACCTAGAAGGGGCAGGAGGTATTTGAGAACACCACCCTGTGCAAGTTCCCCTCCGAACCACTCACCATCCTGACTTGGAAATATATTGGCTCTTCCTTCAGCGTCACTGGATCAAAATCCTGGAACTCCCTCCCTAACAGCACTGTGTGGGTCTACTTACACCACACAGACCGCACCGGTTCAAGACAACAGTTCACCACCACCTTCTCGAGGGGCAATTAGGGACAGGCGGTAAATGCTGGGCCAGCCAGCAATGGAACGTGGGTCATTGCTGTGTGCGTTTTTTAGCGGCAGTACCCAATCCAAAGGAAGGGCTGGAAGTAGCTGGTTGATAGCACGCCATTAATGTCTCTGTACCTACCTCCGAGGGGCCTTGTCTCCTTCCATATGGTTGTCCTCATTATCGCCCTGCATATCCGGCACAGAGGCTACAAGGTCCTTCAAGAAATCAAACTGCTGTTCGAGCTCGATGCATTGTTTTCTGGAGGCAAACACATCAAGATGTTAGCTTTACGCTCTGCTGTGTCATCTCTACATCGTCCACATTCTCCCCATTAAACACCCACAGCGGTTGGAACAGCCCTGTTAAATACAGAGTGATGCTCCCTCTACTCTTTTAAACAAAGTAAAGCTTCCGCGACACTGCCCCCATCAAACGCTCCCAGGATAGGAACAGAATGGGGTTAGATACAGAGTAACACTCCCTCTATTCCTTTAAACTAAAGTGAAGCTTCCTTAACACTGTTCCCCCATCAAACTCTCCCAGGAGAGGTTCAGTACAACATTAGGTCCAGAATAAAGCGCCCTCTATTCTTGTCAATTGAGAGCATAGCTTCCTCTACACTGGCCCCTATCAAACACTCCCAGGACAGGGACAGCACGGGATTAGTTACAGAGTAAAGCTCCCTCTTCACTGTCCCCATCAAACACTGCCAGGACAGGGACAGCAAAGGGGTTAGATACAGTGAAAATCTCCCCCTTCTCTTTTAAACTAAAAGGAAACTGAAAGTAAAGCTCTCTCCACACTCCCCATCAAACACCCCATGACAGACAGCAGAGGAGTTAGATACAGAGTAAAATTTCTCTCCATTCTTTTAAAAATCAAAATAAAGTTTTCTCGACTATTTTAAATGGAAATTCAAGCTCGATCTACACTGTCCCCAACAAACATCCCTAGGACAGAGACAGCACGGGGTTAGATACACAGTAAAGCTCCCTCTACACTGTCCCCCATCAAACACTCCCCAGGACAGGGACAGCACGGGGTTAGATACAGAGTAAAGCTCCCTCTACA